TCTGCCAGAGGTTTATATAAGGAGGCGAAGGTAATCATCGGGATGCACCCCAGCTGTGTGCATCAACAAACCAGTTGCTAATTACTGGAATGCAACACAGCTGAGGTGCAGAGCCCACAGGATAGAGAGAGCAGAGGAGAGAAAGACGGAGGAGAGGCAAGCGGCCCTGACACTCAGTATGTAAAATACAGAGGAAAATAGGACTCAGTTTCCATTTCCCCCTAACATGTTGCTACAATGTTTGTATGTGCAACATACCACATAATGCTGTTATAAACTGCTGTTGCTAACAATGGCTAAAACATGGCTCAAGTGGTATTAAAGTTAACTGAAACTGGAGCTCAGTTAACTTGGGTGTGATGTCACTCCCAGCTCTGACTTCCAAACTCCAAAGTAAATGGAACACTGTTTACTGTATCCTGTACTACAGTGATCAGGTAATTTCAGAATCTGATCCTTTTCTGTTGTACTGACCTTGGTACTCAGCCCATATCTCACTGATTTTAGGAACCCCAGGAAACATTACATAGCTTTCTGTGGTGTCTCCAATTTTAGGATTTTTTAAAGTCACATATTCTTGTAGCATAATTCAAAATAGGAAAAACACATTCAAGTACATGTAGAATAAGCAAGGTCATGTGTGTCCATCTGCCTCACTGCCTGACCTAAAATTCAAGAACTCTAAAAACTTTCAGAGGGGATAAACATTATGCAGGCATCAAAGTGCTGCCAGTTCAAAATGGCATCCAGCAATATATCTTTTGACATCACAGTCACATACAATTATATATTTAATGTCAAAGGAGAACTAAAAACTCTATGCATCACTTCCCAGGTTTAAAAGCAAGCTTTCTTTTGGAGCTACACAGACAGCTCTAATTTCCACTCTTCATTCTTCATGTATATGACAGCACAGGTAAAGCTGCAGAGTCAATACATTTGTCCTTCAGTACATGACACCTTACCCTTACTAATGAGCCATTTAAAAGCACTGTGACGGGAACAGCAGTTAAATGAAAGGCCCCTTGTGGATATGGTAAGAGAGTGTCAAAACTGGAAGAGACAGTAATACTTCACATTGACATGAGGATGAATGAGTAATGAGGTTTTGCGGTTGTTTCATTGAAAAGCTAATCTTCCAACATTTTCCCATGCCCCATCTCTCCCTGAAGAGGTAGCAGTACCTGCACACAATGCCCTAAATGCAAGCCAAAAATTGACTTAAAAGTTACATCAGAACTCATAATAATACTTCACACCGTCTTACCTACTATAAGAATATACTTGATTCATTAATGGCCTCACTTGCTGAGAAACCAACAGTTGCCTGACACTTATTTTACATTTAAATGCAAGCAACACATCTTTCTCTCTCTAAAGACTATTTTGTGATTATAACAGGCAGTAACAGACATTGAATATTTAAAAGGACCTTAAAGCTCATTTCATCTTCCTACCTATTGTAATGTGGCCTGTGAGCTCAGGAGACATTGTTAGGTGTCCATTATGACACAAGACTCGCATCCAGACTCCAATAACTCATATTGGAAGAGCCAGAGCATCTGGAACAAAAAATGCTACCTTTGGAATACCACAGATGGTTGTCACAGATTTTGGAAGTCAATTGTCATCTCATATTGTACAGAATCATGCAGTAACTGCAGTTTTTAAATTTGAGAGGGGGAAAAGAATAATGTAATTCCATCACAAACATTTCCCTTTGGCTGTCAAACACAGTGCCACATGCTGCTCTATTTACTGTTCACACTGAAAGCATCAAAAGTAAGAGGAAAAATAAAACAACTACTTTGCACAGTATATATTGAAATGGGTCAATTATAGACAAATCAGATTTAACAGTAACTGTTAATCACAGTTTCTTTGAAAGATATTGCTTTATAGTCAGATTGCTGCTCATACAACACAAAAAAACTGAGTACTGCAAAAATAAGACAAAATTTAGTTCTTTATAATTCCGGATGCAACATGTATGTGTTTACATTTGCACACTTGCAAACAACTCTCCTTCTATATGCCACAAGTCATTTTTTATTGTATGACCCTTTGGAAGGTTACAACTTGTCAGGAAACATCTGAGGTTTCTTGTGCACTGTGCTGACTTGTCCTCGGCTGCGAAGGAACAGTAATACAGAGTATTAATCCATCTAAAAAGTCAGGTTGCCAAAGCAGGATAACTACAGCAGCAGAGTGGAGAAGTGGCCAAAAGAAAAAGAAAAACAGTCTCTAAACTGTCCACCGAGTTGACTCAATACATCTGACAATCTCAACAATCACCACACAATACATCAAACTTCATGAATATGCATCTGCGCGATTACTAGACTGTAAAATGTTTAACATGTTAACTGGTGTTGTTATGTTTGAAGATGTGATGTAGTACTGAGAATTCAGCTTATATGTGAGGTAAAAAGAAAGATTTTAGAACATGTGGCAGTGCATGTTATGCTACTAAGCAAAAAATTAGGATCACCAGAATACACAAGAGAAACATCAAAAGAGAAGCATGAAAAGTAAGTAAATAAAACAATGCTGTCAACAAACTGCCAATGCTTTGGGATATTCAAAAAATTTCTGTCTCATGTAATATTCTTTATTTTATGGTTTTAGACCACACTAAGCTTGTTTATATCATTTAGCTGATTTTTAGAATGAATTAATAGTTTGGCTTTCATGGCATACTGTGGTTCCCTGTCTTTCATATTTGGTGTTTATAGTGATTAGTTAAAAAGCACATAAGAAAAACTTCTGCATAAAGATGGGGTTCAACAGCATTTTATCTAATCTGTATCCCATTCCGGATCCACTTACTGAATCCAAATCCTTCCCAATCCCTTATTTAATGTGATTAAGAAGTCCATTAGTTTAATTTTTTTTTTTATTTCATTCACTGCAGCAACAAAATGAATTTAAACAATTTTGTTAATAAACAATATAATATTTATGAATCTAGTCTTTAATCACCATATTGATGGTCATTCGATTGGTCATTTTAATTGTGATTATAGAGCATTTACCAGATATTCATTAACCCTGTCCTCACTCATGTTTCTTTGTGATGCGCTGTCAGAGAGGCCAAAGAGTGAAAACTAAACACAGACCATGACCTACAGGCATGGAAAGGGATTTGTTTGGCCATGAAGCTTCATGAAGCTCGGTATTTTGCTAACTTTGAACCGGATCCAAAACAGAACCGTACTTGCGCATTAGACTGCATAATGTATAAAATGTAGTGTTGGACAGGAAGTATAGATATGTGTTGAAATGACAGCGTTGCTGTTATTGTGCTGTTGAACTGAACTGTACTACATTATATAGAGAGGTGTTTCTGTTATTTAGCCTAGCTTCATTTATATACTTAAATGGGGTGGACAAAATTATAACACCTGTCAGTATAATGCAATACAAATCAACAGTGCCACCTTCAAGAAGATTTGTTGCAAGGTTGTTGTGGTTACACAGCTAGGTGTACCTAATAAACAGAGTGTATGCCATATGTCCACCATAACCTTCACATTTCAAAGTGCAATACATATTTCACACACACACCTTTAACGTAAGCTTTGTTAGTCAACTGACGAACACAAATGTCATGTCACATGATTAAGATGCCACCTCTGAAATAATGCATATGTAGGTTCTATCAGAACAAACCTCCAGCTTAAATGTCTGGAAAACCTATTACCATGACCTATTCATTATCCACAATCCATTGATTTATTTGCAGGGACTACTTGTCCCCATGCAAATGAAGGACCACTGTCAATCAACTGTGAACAACACAATTAGACATCATGGCATCTCCTAACTACTGGTAATTTATGTAGTACTGTCTTTTGAAAGCCGGACAAAATGCAAAAAGGAAGACAGCCTAAAAAGAAATTAAGGAAGAAGGAGACCTGGCACGGGTGAAACTGACAGCCTGCATGCAAATGTGGTCATCTATCTTACCAGGGAACACTGAATGTGCTTTATCTCATCTAGAAGGAGCAGTTCATCTCAGCTAGACAGACATTTGGATGCACTAGGCTTAAAAAGCAGAGGCCCTAAATTGGATAACAATTGTGAAACTGTACAAATGCTTGGGTTTGCTCACCTCAAATAAGCACTTCTGCAATTACAGCATGTGCATCTGTGGTGACCTGGACCTGAGCTACATGCTATGCTAGTTTTAATTAAGGTCATATGACCCATTCAGTTCAACACACTACTTAGAGAATATATAACTGTGTTTATATTCGGACGGGTAAGTGCATGCGAGTATGTACCGTAAGCTCACATGTATTTTGGTGTAACACTAACTAAAATAAGTACGACTCCAGTGAAAAGAAGGCTGACAGTTAAAACATATTGGCTGAAATTACAAACCAAATTATACTCGTTTGTTTATAGAGGAGAGACTTTAAGCTACAGTGGACTGTATCACATATGCTTGAAATGTGCAGACTTGATTTGTGTACCAAATCGTGTCAGGAAAAAAAATTCTTATTTGTTAAATTCATACAATTAAGTACAAATGAGCACACTAAGCTATGCATTTTCATCTTTGCTGAATGCAGATGTCAGTGACTTTTTCCTAGATTTATCACAAAAGAAAAGACAAATATTCCCCATGCCAAACCATCTTACTAGGAGGTTCACACACTTAACAGATTTTTTTTAACTCGTTAATTTTCCAGTAGCAAGAGCACAAATTTTATGTTTTTTTTAATATGTTTTTAAGTGTAGCAGTTAATGACACAAATTTTCAAACTGAAAAACATTTTCAACACCTGGATGCACAAGTAATCTGTATATTAACTGTTGCATCTATCAAATTGCTGACTTTCTCATCTCTGGCAATCAACTACTCATGATAATATAAAACATCTTTCAAAAGTGCTCCTACTTCATTTCATGTTCACAAATGGAAACTATTGTATATACAATATAAACAAAAGCTAGACTCAGTAAATCACCAATAATTAAATATACTGTCTTACCTGCTTTAAAAGAAAGCCTTCAGAAGAAGCCTTAGCCACTCGTATCAACATCCCTCTCTCTCCATCCTCCGTGTTTGTCTGTACACACAAGGAAGAAAAGAGACGTGAGGAGACAGCAGTGCCACAGCACAGCCAATAGCATCTCTGGAAAAGCTTCTGTGCAGCCACTCTGCTTTGTTTGTTAGTAGAGCTTCATCAAAAGATTCAGAGACCAGCTTCTGCAGTCACAGCATGACCGCCTAACCCACCCTCCCTTCACGTTCTCTACACTCACCAGAAAAGGTCAGTGTACAGAAGGTGAAGGCAGGGAACAAGGTTGGACAGCAAGAGGCAGCAAAGGAGGCAATGTTTTAAATGGTCTGAGCTGTAGGTAACAGTGGCCGGGGCTGGTCTGGCAGGCTGTAAAATGCCTGAAAGTCCCAGAGGGAAGTGTGGGGACTGAACAGCACTGATAAAGTAGCAGTGCTGCAGCATAAAAACATATGACTAGGGCTGCCCCCACATAGTCAAATAGTTGAGTCATTAGTCGAGAGAACCGTCATATAATAATGATCACTGTTATTATATTTTAATTTAAGTTAAAAAAATCTATGATGTCTACCAATGAAGTAGGCATATGCTTTGCCATATGTGAAAGGGGGATTGATTTGTAGCCTAGTTTCCTGCTGGGGAAGAATTTCTGATCTAAAATATGTAAAAGGCAGCTCTTGCTGACATAAACGGCCTGCTCAGGTCATAAATACTACTGAAACATCCAATCTGTTCTCTGTAGCAAGCAGGGGAAAGTGAAACCAGAAATCTCACAGTGACACCAGGAGCATGATCATCATAACAGATACTAGTAGAGAGTTTGCAACACATAAATAACAAGGGATTTGTGTAATTTAAACATATGTTTTTGGAGATTATGTTACACTAAATGTGCCAGAGGTAAATAAACACATAACACTTGATGAGTAAGGGGAGTGAGGGGACCAGGGGTGACAGGAATCTCACAACATGTCTTGGAGTGTGGACTGCCACATTTCATAGAGTCTGTCTGTTCTATGACACAGGCAAGTGATGGACCTGCGAATTAAGGTTGCTATGACAACATTGTGGAGATAGTTTGCTTATATTTTAGCCACAGCTACATCTGTCTAGCATTTCTACAGTGACATTAGGACAGCCGTTCTTTTTAAACACCTACGTATTTATTTTGCTGTCGCATCAAGTGCAACTTTCAAAAAGTCAGTTGTGCCTTAAATAAAACTGCTTGCAAATAGAACTTATCACTCACAGTCTGGAGTCATGTACTTCCTTGTAAATCATCTTGAAATGAGCATTTACTTACTCCTCCATAAATTATGCATAATTTCATGTATAGTTTGACAGAACAATGCATATGCAATGCAGGAATATATTGTACTTACTTCACATTAACTTTTGTTGTCTAGTCTGTCCTTTATATTCTTATTACCGTCTTGAGCAGACCAGGCTCCACCTGGAGTCATGGTGCACTATGAACAGAATGAATCCTCAAACCGCAACTCTAACTATACCTGCTTAAAATATGCAGTGGTATTTCCTTTGGCTAAAGTGCAGATAGAAAAGCAATTAGACTTTTAAATAGCACACTTTTGCTGCAACATCATTTGAATTGGGAGTAAAAGGCATTTAAATGCTATATCCAGACTGTTTTTCTATTGATGAAATACTGTAAAGCTCCATCTGACCAAGGTGAAAACTGCAATATCTCTGCAGATACACAACAATACCAACAACCAAGGAAGAGAAAATGCTACATTTTGACTGAGAATATGAAGGATACTATATCATTTCACTCACTTAAATCTGACTATAATATTCCCATTTATATTCATCTAGGTCAGGTGTTTGAAGAACTGCACGAATATCATGTAAAAAAACACAAAGTTGCATTATTTGTAAAGCAAGTGAGCAAAGCTGTCATGTTATCTACTCTGCATTAGTGCAGATGGAGCTGTGTTTCAGGCACATGTCAACAAAGAAAAGTGAATACCTAAGCATCATTTACCAAATGGAAAGCTTTAGAGTGGAACAGGCTCTGTCTTGCTTCTCTTCCCTCAGCTCCAATAAATCAGCATCATAGTCCGTGACAACTGGACAAACTCCAGTTTTAAAAGGCATTTCAACATGTGCCAAGCCAGGGACACATAAAATGTATCCCTAAACATATTCCTGTCTTGATCTTCCACTGCTTTTCATATTGCCCAAGTGTTAAACTGCTTTTGTTTGGGAGACTATAATTTTAGAATGTGCCCAATATTGAATGATTTGAGACTATAAACTAACAAAGCCCTTTCCCACACACACAAACTCAGAGGTGCTGCTAATATGCTGACCCTCTCATGCATGTAGCCAAGGAGGACAAAAATATAAAGACACCTCTAAATATAATGTAGTCCAGTGTTAAGTATGACATCAATAATAAACATAATTGAATTTATACATTTATGACATTTTGACCAAAAACGAACATTTTGAGCTACACAGATGTTAAGGTGGAAGTGTTGTATTGAATTGCATACAATGGTACAGGTGTACTTAATAACGTGGCTGCTGAGTGTATATACAAATACATACACGTTACATACTGTGTAAAATGGGCTCTTCTATGCAATACAATGCGCACATATACATGGTGCACATAAAGGATACTGACAGAAAAGAGGATTTCGGGGCTGATAATGATTACCAAATCATCCACTCTTACAATTGCAAAAGTATGACAAAAACAAAACTGGATAAATGTTTACATTTACCAGTGTCAACACAACTTTTGGAAACAAATTGTTGTTTAAAAAAAGCTATTTTTAATGATATCCTTCATGTTTTTTGTCTTAAGCAATGCAATTCATAGAAATGTATTCATCATCATGTTATATAATAACTATTTCAGTTCTTTAAAATACCAAACATTTAATGTTTGAGCTTCTAAAATGTGAAAATTTGCTGTTTTTCTGTGTCATGTGTGACAATAAACAAGCATATGTGAATAAAGTTTCTTTCGTGTTTGGGCTACTGATCGGGCAAAACAAAGTAACTTCAAGGTTATACTTTGGGCTCCAGGAAATAGTGAAGGCCATGAAAGTGCCAGAGCTGTAATATTTACTGTTGAACTGGTCTATTACATGCTCTGTTGCCCCATCGCTAAACTAAACTTTTTCTCTTCCTTAATGCAAAATGAAGGAAACTATCTGAGCCATGCTGACTGAATAATCATGACACAATCAAATCCAAAATGCAATGTGTGGAAACATTTTAAATCCAACACCAAATATGGAAAAAACACAAAAGTTGAAGCTATTTGGTGCCTTTTCAAAATCCAACTATCTGGCAAAATGAATGAATGCAATTAATTGATAATGTAGTTGAGCATTAGGCTATGCCAACAAGATCTATACTCAGTTTAAAGTCCTACCACAACAAGTGACAAAATATTCTCTTAATTTCACATTGTTCTGACTTGCACTCTGCAACTTTAGACACAAAATTTAAACGTGCAAAAATCATTTGTTAGCCGAGGTCTGTTTCTGCTTCTTTAATGTGCCATACTGACGAGTGAAACTAATCTCCAAATGGATACATCAGCCATTATTTCCTCTCAGTTTCTCAACACAGATAAGCAGACTAAAGGCTTAAATCCAATGCACACACAATTGTTCATTTTTATTACCTTTTTCACCACTAGAAAAATCAATAGTGCTATATCTGTGTCCACTTTATGTTGGTCCATAGACTGCAGCTAGGCAAAGGTTTGAACAAGTACACCTTAAACTGGGCTATTCTTCTTTTAAAAGTGTGACGATATAGTGTGTAAGCAAACTGACCACACAAAAGGCCAGGTTATGACCCTAACAATGATTTGTTTCTGGGTTCTACACCCTCATCAAAATGGACAGGGCATACATATTCATCTTCCTTTTAACAATATTATAAATACTACTGTTTCAAAAACAATTTTAATACTTCTAAAGCACATTAGAGTGATTTAAAATAATACTCAGGTGTATGCTAGTGTAGTGTTAGAGCTGTTTGGATTCGTAAAAACGCTTTGAGTTCAGATGTTGTCACACATGACACAGAAAAACAGCAAATTTTCACATTTTAGAAGCTCAAACATTAAATGTTTGGTATTTTAAAGAACTGAAATAGTTATTATATAACATGATGATGAATACATTTCTATGAATTGCATTGCTTAAGCTGTAAAGCTTCTGAATTTTGGGGGTATATAAATGAGCCTTTAGTTTACATTCAAAGCATAAGTCTCTATAGATGAAAACAAAACATTACAAACATTCTTTTTTAAATAATGTTGTTTTACAGGTCACTGGTGTAGCAGTTACAATCCAGCAAAAACCTGAAATTCTATGAATTTCTCAACTGTGAACAAAACCAACATCTGAACTCAAAGCGTTTTTACGATTTCAAATTCTCTGGAAGGCAAAATATCTAGAAATTGTAATTTATGAAGCTAATCAATAAAGGTCAGCAAGTTAATTAAATTAGATTTTGAGCAGAGGAAAGCTAATAATTAAGTCATTACTGCATCCATCTCTTATTTGTAAATATCAAATAATTCATTGAAGAGGAAGAATATGCACAGATGCAGTACATCAAAGAGTCTTGACAACGGAGACCAAATGTCAGCAACTGTCAAGATATTACCGTGCATCAAAGCCTGCTCGCTGCCTCAATGGGCTCTTACAGCTTATCAGAACCCTTTCAATGACACATACAGCCTAGTCTCAGAGTGAATCGCTGATTCTCAGTAAACTTTTGACAAGGCCTATTACACAGATGGATAGCTGTTTTCACTGGGAGAACAAAGACCAGCCGAACTGAGCTGTGTTTCCTGTCAAGTACCCCTCACCAGCAAACCCCTGTTGAAAATACCTCGGGCAACTCCTATCTGATGAGGTGTCTGCATTCTTCAACAGGAACTGCCATGTAGCAAAGTGCTGTTGCCTAAGATGTACAGTATAGGAAGTAGCAGTGCAATAAGCAGAACTTACCATCCTCACATCTTTGTCACAGTAACTGATTTTGAGTCT